AAAACTGAAATATCACATGGTCCTAAGTATTCAGACCCTTTGCTGTGACACTCATATATTTAACTCAGGTGCTGTCCATTTCTTCTGATCATCCTTGAGATGGTTCTACACCTTCATTTGAGTCCAGCTGTGTTTGACTATACTGATTGGACTTGATTAGGAAAGCCACAAACCTGTCTATATAAGTTGAATGGCCCAGCCAGAGCCCTGACTTAAACCCAATTGAGCATCTCTGGAGAGACCTAAAAATGGCTGTCCACCAACGTTTACCATCCAACCTGACAGAACTGGAGAGGCTCTGCAAGGAGGAATGGCAGAGGATCCCTAAATCCAGGTGTGAAAAACTTGTTGCCTCTTTCCCAAAAAGACTCATGGCTGTATTCGATCAAAAGGGTGCTTCTACTAAATACTGAGCAAAGGGTCTGAATACTTAGGACCATGTGTTATTTCAGTTTTTCTTTTTTAATAAATCTGCAAAAATGTCAACAATTCTGTGTTTTTCTGTCAATATGGGGTGCTGTGTGTACATTAATGAGGAAAAAAAATTAACTTAAATGATTTTAGCAAATGGCTGCAATATAACAAAGAGTGAAAAATTTAAGGGGATCTGAATACTTTCCGTACCCACTGTACATAGAAATCTTTTACACAATGAATGTGGAAATGGGTTATGATGATTTCATGTAAAAATAAACTTTGTATGACAAAAAGTTTCCAATAGTTACAATGTGACCTACATACAACAGCAAGAATGGAAACCTTGGAAATAAAAATGACTGTAGATGCTTAAATTTTAGTTGTTAATATCTATTAGGAGTGTTTGAAAGTTGCTCATCCTGTCTATGCTCTGTACTTTCCAAGAGGTGTCTGTGTCTCAAGAAGCGATTGTTAATATGAACTTTGATTTGAACTCATTGCTCTCTCTCTCTCTCTCTCTCTCTGTGTGTGTGTGTGTGTGTGGTGTGTGTGTGTGTAATTTGAGGCCACGCTGTAGGTTGTAAACATGTATCTGTGTGAGCTACACATCACTGGGTGTGGCTGAAGGCAGATTATGTGTGGACAGTCAGGTATGAATACCCACAGACACATTTTTCTGAAAACTAGATCAGATCATGTCTAGTATTTGTTTATGTCCTGTTTAAGGGGATAAACTGAGTATATTAAGAATGAGTGTGTGTATGTGCCTGTGTAAATGTATTTAGGTTAAAATATTTGGGTAAGGAGGGGTGGCCAGTTTACAATTGATTTTTTTTTTTGTAGGTGTCTTTTGTTTGTGTTTCAGAGACAAAAAGAGAGATATTCAGGTCTTTCTGCATGGGATAAAAAAAATTTTTTCTCAGTGGCTTCCTTCATGTGGTTGAGTCTTTCTCTTCTTTCCTCCTTTTGTGTCTATAAACTTTTCATAAACAATTTATTCATGTTTTACAGTGTTGTTTGCTGTGTGAATGAGAATGTAGCACATGTTCACATTGAGTAGAGCGGTGTGTTAGAGAGCAAGATGCAGCAACTCAAACTCAGGAACCTTATCTACATGATTCATGATGGCAGTGATGTTTTGTCAAATGTGATGTGTTGAAGCCAGTGTTGGCTTTCCTCTAGCAGTTTTATAGTTTTAATTATTGATCTTGAAGTAGTATCCTGCTAAATTGGATTTATCCTAACTCATTATCTTTATCTTAACCTATTCATCTTTATCTGTTGTATTAAAGTGTTTCTTAATGCAATTTTGTATATCCCTTGGTGGTAATTATTAAAAGTTTGTTTGTTTTCAACTTAAAACTTGGTGAAATTATTTCAGTGTGTGCATGAGTAGGCCTACATTTTGAACATTTCTATCATATTTAACAATACTGTGATAATACTTAAAACTGTAATTATTTTTAGAGCCCGACCGATACCGATATTAGGGAGTAAAAAAAGACTGATATGTCGGCCGATATTCTTTATGTGTAGGCTATTTTATAGTACAGTAGAGTCAAAAGTTTGGACACACTTCTCATTCGTGTGTTCAAACTTTTGATTGGTACTGTATATAGAATACAGTATATAGCCTACATAATCAGAATATATATACATAAACACATTTTTGCAATGATAAATCAAATGTGGTGATCAAACACTTATAGTGATGTGACAAACATAGGCCTATAGTGGAGGCAGGGTATTTAACAATTTAACAATAAACTTTATTATTCTAAATGAGTCTGACATCAGTGCACTTAACAGTAAACTTCACTTCACTTATTATAAATTACTTAACTAACACAAATAGAACAAAGTATATATAACTTGAATTAAGAAATTAAACAAGGTAACTGTGTAGGGCAAGCAAGATACTGCCAAACCAACAGGGGCAGGTTTATGCAGGAAGCCCAGCTTTTCCAAATGTAAACATATAAAATGAATAAATAATAATAATTAATAAACTCTGTGTTGTGTATTTTCTGGTAATCAAATTAACATGCAGAACATTCGTATTTAAATCGTCTTTTTTGCAGTTTAATGTTCACAGACACAGTCAGTCTCACAGACACAGTCTGAACATGTATATATATGTACTGACCTGTTTTTTATTTATTCATCAAAAAGACAAATTCCATGAAATTCCGCGTTATACAGTAAATTTCATTTGCTGTGTTTTTATTAGCAAAGTTTTACACTGCTGTTTGCAAGACTTGATTCTGATTGGTCAATTGCAGTGTGCAGTTGTCAGATCTTTGAATTAGTGCTGTCAAATTGATTTATGGCGATTAATCGCATCCAAAATAAAAGTTTGTGTATGTATGTGTGTATATACAAATACACACACATACATGTATATATTTAAAAAATATATGCAATTTATATTTATATATAAACTAAATATATGTATATTGTATATATAATATATATATAACTAAAAACACACCTGTTCCACCTTTATTTGACCCCCTAACTCTAACAATTTCTATTCTATTTTAATTCTACTTTATCTATATTTAACCCTTTTTTTTTTTTAAACAACAACAAAAAACCCACTAGCTTTCTATTTTTTCTATTCTATCTACTTGTTTTTCTTTGTGTGTGTGTGTGTGTGTGTGTGTGTGTCTTGTTTTTTCTTTGTGTGTGTGTGTGTGTGTGTGTACATGTGTGTGTGTAATATATATATACATACACACACCTTGCTACGTGTACTGCGTTAGGCTAACCGAGACTTGTCATTTGCACTTATATATTGTTGCTCTTTTGTTAGGTTTGACTGCTTTTATTGTCCTCATTTGTAAGTCGCTTTGGATAAAAGCGTCTGCTAAATGACTAAATGTAAATATAATATAAATCATATAATACATGCACAGTATAAACATATTTATTGTGGATGCGATTAATCACCATTAATCGATTTGACAGTACTAATTTGAATATGAGTAAATATTATTAACAGAGTTTGTTTGTTGTATGTGCTATTATCAGCGTTTGTTCTGTTTTTTGTAACAGAGTTGAATGTTTTAATAGGCTTTTCGCAAAGAGAGAGTTGTTCATTACTAGCACAGAGTTTACCATGTTTGTTATCATGAAAGTTTGCTGTGTTTATTATTTCTGGACAGTTTGCTGACTTCATTATCGGCACACATTGTATATTCATCAGAATGATTGCTGTTTATTATAAGCAGACAGTTTGCTGTTTATATTATTGCCAGAGAATTTGCATCATTATCATCAGAGTTTGCTGTTAATATCGGCTGAGAATTTATTTTCAACAGAGAGTGTTACTATGAGAAAAGTGTTTGTTAGGAATGAATCACAATTGTTAAATAAAACTGACTAGTCAAGTAGTGAGGTTGACTAGATTTTTTTTTTTTTTAAGAAAATGACGCTTATTAGCATGCTGTGTGTTAGCATTAAGTCATTAAAACCTTTTGGTAAAACTAAAATCCTCTCTGAAAATTTTCACAAGTGATACACACATGCAGATATACATTAGGGTTGTGACGGTGAGGAAATTTTCCCACCGGTTAATTGATGTGTGACAACACCCATAATACCGGTATCACCGTGGGGGCAGGGGCGTTTCCTCGCTTTCCTTCGCTTTTAAATAGCTTGCAAAAGTGGTGTGCACATTTTACTTTCACTTTCAAATAGAGGCAATTCAGCGTAAAGCAATTGTTCGTTTGAATTTGCCCTCTTTTCCTCACTTTCCTTCGCTTTTAAATAGCTTAAAAGCACCGTGCGCATTTTACTTTCACTTTTAATTAGCGGCAATTCGGCGTCAATTGCTTGAATGCAACAACAAAATACAACGTAAAACTCACTTTAGCCTATATATAAAACATAGAACTTTTATTAACAAAACAAATAAAATGCACCATGCTATAGGGCAGGCTATGCCTAATATCAAATAAGAAATAACTTACATGAAGTTTAAATAGGTAGCCTATACAAAACTGGAAATAAGTAAGCATGTATAATATATAGGCTAACCAAATAAATAAGAAACGTAGAAAGTTTATTAGCAAAACGACTAAGAAAGCTTGGAGGCACGGCATACACCTTGATGCCAAATAAAATAAATAAATGACACAAAGTTTAAATAAAGTAAAAATCAGCAAACACTGTGGAACCAATTAAAATAAGAAACGAATGTTTAAAAAAAACTTCAAAAATCACCTAGATAAACGGCAAAAGTCAACAGGCTTTTCAAAATCCAAAATATTGCCAAACAGGCGCTTTTGCATTTCGTTTCGAAACTAAATCATCCGCGATCGTCTTGTCTGTCTCACCTCACTCTTCTTGTCAGTCAACTCGACTCACTCTCCTCACTGGAGAAATTAAATCTGATCTGTGACGCGACTGTCGTTCGGCATGTAGCATTGAGCAGCCGCGTTCAGTTTTTAATTGTAGTGTCTGTTCTTTTACTGAACTAAATTATTTTTATTACTATAAAAAAATCTAAACGACGGTGGGGGTCGGTGCCGCGGTGGGCAAGTGACGTAACCGGTGTTGCAGCTTAACAACGGTATCACCGTCAGCACCGTCTATCGTGGCAAGCCTAGTTGGTTCAGAACAACATTTCACTGCAGAAGAGCATGTATAAGGCATGCAACCCGGCCAGTGAACTAAAATGAGTTGAGCCCCTGGATCAGTAGTCAGTACCTGCTCAGGCATATCTCCGTTTTGCAGGCCAGAGTTCAAAAGTTTGTAGTTGCAGGTGAAAAGGTCCCATTTAGTGAGGTCATGGGCACTGCAAGGAGCACAATCACAGGCACACACACACACACGTGTTATGATGAAGAAAGTCCACTGGTCTATGAATGTGAACCTCACAAAACATGTACAGATGTATTTATTTAACTCCAAAATGTTTTTTTTAAATCTGTTTTAGGACTTTTGGAATTTCTCAGTTTTAGCGAAAAGTGTGTTCTTACTTGTGGAAGGCTGTGATTCTCTTGAGTGTTGACAAAACGTGATAGGCATCATCTTCATCAGGCTCCTCTCCCTTAAAGAAACAAAACCGTTAAAGTTGAAACTGGTGAAATCACAAAGAAAAGTTACAGAGAAAATTTCCACACACACCTCCTGCAGGACATCCTCCAACAGACGGTGGAACTTGTCAATCTGTTCATCAATCATCTGGCTGCGGACAATATCTACACGGTTATAGATGGTGAATTCCTCATTGCACAGTGCATGGAATGTCATGGAACATGCCTCTAATACATCTGTGTCTGTGTGCTTCTCCACCACATCACGGACCTGGCGCAGCAAAGCATCCAGATGCTGCAGGACATCAGTGCAAGAATTACTAATAGAACTACTACAACAAAACATTAACTATCTATCCTTTCTTGACTTTGTGTATTGATTAAAAAATATGTTACTACTATTGTAAACTTTCTTCATGATAAAAGTGACTTATTTTATACGCACATCATTTTGTGTACTATGTGGTACTTTTTTTTTTTTTGTATGGGAATAATTACCTTCTCCAGCCGACCAGTTGGGTAGATCTCTAGATCAAAATACTGAGGAAACTGCAACAGATTAGTGACCTTGTCTGGGTCCACTGAATACTGAGAAAGAGAGAGAGAAAGAAGTTTGAAAGAGTTTTTTCAGAAATCACTTGGTTTCCATCCTTATTCAGATTACAATCACTTATTTGGAATATCTGTATGCAGTGAGTTGTGGGCCACTGCTTTATCCCCAAAAAGCCAAACAATATTAACAGAAAAAATGAGCCGATATGGGCCGATACCGATATGGTGGCCGATATATCGTGCATCCCTACATTAAAACCTTTTGGTAAAACTGTAAAATCCTCTCTGAAAATTTTCACAAGTGATACACACATGCAGATATACATTAAGGTTGTGACGGTGAGGAAATTTTCCCACCGGTTAATTGATGTGTGACAACACCCATAATACCGGTATCACCGTGGGGGCAGGGGCGTTTCCTCGCTTTCCTTCGCTTTTAAATAGCTTGCAAAAGTGGTGTGCACATTTTACTTTCACTTTTAAATAGAGGCAATTCAGCGTAAAGCAATTGTTCGTTTGAATTTGCCCTCTTTTCCTCACTTTCCTTCGCTTTTAAATAGCTTAAAAGCACCGTGCGCATTTTACTTTCACTTTTAATTAGCGGCAATTCGGCGTCAATTGCTTGAATGCAACAACAAAATACAACGTAAAACTCACTTTAGCCTATATATAAAACATAGAACTTTTATTAACAAAACAAATAAAATGCACCATGCTATAGGGCAGGCTATGCCTAATATCAAATAAGAAATAACTTACATGAAGTTTAAATAGGTAGCCTATACAAAACTGGAAATAAGTAAGCATGTATAATATATAGGCTAACCAAATAAATAAGAAACGTAGAAAGTTTATTAGCAAAACGACTAAGAAAGCTTGGAGGCACGGCATACACCTTGATGCCAAATAAAATAAATAAATGACACAAAGTTTAAATAAAGTAAAAATCAGCAAACACTGTGGAACCAATTAAAATAAGAAACGAATGTTTAAAAAAAACTTCAAAAATCACCTAGATAAACGGCAAAAGTCAACAGGCTTTTCAAAATCCAAAATATTGCCAAACAGGCGCTTTTGCATATAAAATAAATAAATGACAAAAACTTTTGAATTCTGTTCTTTTCTGTTGTGCTCTATCCAGCTGCTCTAGACTTGAACACAAGAATGAATCCTATGTGCTCTTCATACAATAGACAGAGAATTTGCTGTTTATTATTAGCATAAAGTCTGCTGTATTAATCATTAGCTGAGAGTTTGTTGCGTCTCGCTCTTTGTGTCCCTTCTCTTTCATCATCTTTTTCATTTTCATTTTAAATGTGAATTAAATACGAAACTGTAGTTCAAAGGCTTGAACTATTTGTCAGACACGCCAAACAGGCGCTTTTGCATTTCGTTTCGAAACTAAATCATCCGCGATCGTCTTGTCTGTCTCACCTCACTCTTCTTGTCAGTCAACTCGACTCACTCTCCTCACTGGAGAAATTAAATCTGATCTGTGACGCGACTGTCGTTCGGCATGTAGCATTGAGCAGCCGCGTTCAGTTTTTAATTGTAGTGTCTGTTCTTTTACTGAACTAAATTATTTTTATTACTATAAAAAAATCTAAACGACGGTGGGGGTCGGTGCCGCGGTGGGCAAGTGACGTAACCGGAGTTGCGGCTTAACAACGGTATCACCATCACCACCGTCTATCACGGCAAGCCTAATAGACATCCTTGGCCATTGCTTCACAACTCGACCTGTTTCTTGCCCCATGACCATTGCATTTTCAAGCAGTTAAATTTTACGAAATGTAGCTCGAAACTTTTGAATTCTGTTCTTTTCTGTTGTGCTCTATCCAGCTGCTGTAGACTTGAACACAAGAATGAATCCTATGTGCTCTTCATACAATAGACAGAGAATTTGCTGTTTATTATTAGCATAAAGTCTGCTGTATTAATCATTAGCTGAGAGTTTGTTGCGTCTCGCTCTTTGTGTCCCTTCTCTTTCATCATCTTTTTCATTTTCATTTTAAATGTGAATTAAATACGAAACTGTAGTTCAAAGGCTTGAACTATTTGTCAGACACAATTACTGTGTGTGCGTGCGTGATCTGTATACAAGCGTATGTGTGTGCGTAAATGTGAGTGGATATGTGTGTATACAGTATGTGCTTTATTTATAAAGTTTGTGGAGGTCTGTATTCTAATTCTATCCAGCTGGACTCAATCTTACTGCTTCTCATTTGTGCTTGTCTGGTCATCACCAATGTTTTGCTGAAACTATTCTTAACCAACTCATGTATGGTAAAAAATCATAATGAATCTCTCTCTCTCTCGCTCTCTCTCGCTCTCTCTCTCTCTCTCTCTCGTTGTGCTTTGTGCTCTGAAGCAGCCTGATGGTATGAAATAGTTTTAAGTGAATTTCACGCACTCACATTTGTGTAAATTGATGCTGATATATGGCAAACACATTTCTCTTAGTAACATTAAAAATAATTGCCAGCTCAGTTTTTGGTTTAGAAACTTTCCATTACAACCTAATATTTCTAAGGATAATAAATATTTGTTTTTTCATTTGGTCCTGAAATAAAAGACAATTGTATTACCTTGCATAGCTGATTTCACAGATCTGTCAGTGTGATGTTATGCAGAGCAAAACATGTTTTAAAAAAGGTGTGTGTGTGTGTTTGAGAGAGAGAATATAGGTCAGTCATTATCTCACAAACACATACCTCTTCTCAGCTGATAAGTAAAAACTGCCAGATTTCTGGAATTGTTTCATAAACCACAGTTGATGCGTGTATATGTGCTGATAGTTTAAGCACAGTCACAGAGTACAATAAATGTTTCCTAGCCATCTTTATTTATTAAAAAAACTTTATAAAATGGACCACTGATGTTTATTTCCTAGTTGTGTTTTCAATCAAAATAATATTTTTTATTTTCAGATCCTCTGCCTCTGAAAGAAAGCCTCCGATCAGGGTCAAGTGGCCTTAAACCAGCTTCCTCCAGTGCTATTTTAGTTAACTAGTTATTCAGGCATCCCACTGACTATTTGATTTTGAAAACATAGTTTTGTAAATTCATCTGCCGTTTAAGCAGAAAGCTTATATTTTTTCTTTTATATTCTTGGTGTAGGCGGTGCTGCTAACCAAATTGACTTACATTACTGGCAAATGGCCAAACAAGAAGCCAAAAATACACAGAGCTTGCTAAGATAGGCCTTTTAATTGCAGAGAACCTCCTAACAAGACAAAAATTCATATAACTAACTTAAAAGCTGTTTAAGCACAGTCACAGAGTACAATAAATGTTTCCTAGCCATCTTTATTTATTAAATAAATTAATATTTATTAAAAAAACTTTATAAAATGGACCACTGATGTTTATTTCCTAGTTGTGTTTTCAATCAAAAATAATATTTTTTATTTTCAGATCCTCTGCCTCTGAAAGAAAGCCTCCGATCAGGGTCAAGTGGCCTTAAACCAGCTTCCTCCAGTGCTATTTTAGTTAACTAGTTATTCAGGCATCCCACTGACTATTTGATTTTGAAAACATAGTTTTGTAAATTCATCTGCCGTTTAAGCAGAAAGCTTATATTTTTTCTTTTATATTCTTGGTGTAGGCGGTGCTGCTAACCAAATTGACTTACATTACTGGCAAATGGCCAAACAAGAAGCCAAAAATACACCGAGCTTGCTAAGATAGGCCTTTTAATTGCAGAGAACCTCCTAACAAGACAAAAATTCATATAACTAACTTAAAAGCTCATGTTGAAATCCTCCTAATGACTGATGAAATTCTGTGTCAGGGTTCAGCATTTTTTTGTTGGTTTGTTTTGTTTTTATTTTCTCATGTCTTGTCTTGCTGTCCCGTTAAAATATCTTAATTAAAACAAGATTTAAGAAGCAAAATTGCATTTTAAAATAAGACACAGTCTCTTCAATTAAGTTTATTTTTCTTGACTCATTGACAAATAGTTTTTCATCTCAACAGGGTAAGAAAAAACAATTTAATTCCAGATATATTTTTGACACTACAATAACATATGTTGTTTTGAACATGTTTAGATATTTTTACAGGAAAACAAGACCAAAATACTCCATCTATCCATTCTCCAAACTGCTTGTCCTGTGTAGGGTCACGTACCCCCAACCCAAAGCATGACAAAACTACTAACGGAGAAAAATATTTTTTTTGTGGTGCAGTTTGAAAAGGTTTGTCCCATTGATTATTTGTGTGCACATGCAATTTCCACACTCTCCTTTCACTCTCTCATACACTCTTTAACTACTAATCTCTCTCTATCCCACTTTTTCCTCTTTATTCTTGTGTGTTGTGTTGGATTATGAAAAGATGGCGTAAAAGATGTTTCTAGGTCATGGCACTCCTTGCCGAAGCAGCATTTCCTGAGGGTTGTGCCAGTGTTGCATTAACGGTTAAGCATAGGTGTCAACACAATACATTTTGTGCATTTTCATTTCTTTGTCATCGGATATTGCATTAAACGTTTAATGCAAAAATTGTTAAAGTGAGTAAGCAGCACCTCAGTTTGAACCGTTTACGCCGTAGTCCAAAGCAGAAGGATTATTGACTGGACTAAGGTGGAGATCGACAGCTGATTTGTATATAATTAAACTAAAACAGCTCTGATGCACCCAGAATCTTCATCATTGTAAAGGTTGGCGTGAGAAACAATTGCAGGCAGTTACTGAATGAGCGTGTAGCTCTAGATGATGAACAGGTTCTGTGGCGCATCAACAGATTCCTGTGACTGTGTTTGTTAAGTTGGGTAAAAAAAAAAGGATGAAAATGTATGAGTTTTATCAAACACATTCCATATAGCATGATGATTCTACACATTTTCACTGTGAAAGTAAAGGGAATCGGATCGGGGGAGATGGTAACCTTTTACTTTTTTAATACAGATGTACCTGGTTTAAGAAACATATGGTTTATACCACTAATAAACCTAAAGATTACATCATAATATTAAATTTAATACAAGACAGAGTTACAGTCAGTGTAACAGTTGAAAAAAATAAATGTATTCACTGTGTCTCAAGTAAGATCACATTTCATAGTAATATTTTGCTTTAATATAATAATGTCACTGAATAGTTTGACATTTTAAAGGAAATATTTTAGCTGTCAGGGAATAACATGTTTAAAGCAAAAGTCTGGATGGGACTTTTCAACTGTATACTGTGATTTTTGGCAGATTTTTGATCACGAAGCACACAGCATGTGGTATCTCTGCTGGCTTTGGTGAAGTGTAATGTGTCTGGAGAAGTGCCAATGTTTTATTCATTTGACCGAGAGGGAGAGAGAGAAAGAGAGAGAATATTTAATTAATGTCGGTGGTCTTTTTCCATTTTTCCAGGCTTGTAAATACAGTTTACTTTTTTAAAAATCACTCATTTTAAACTTTTTGTTGATTGTGTTCAAAACAGTTTGCCGTTTCACAAAAAGGCAATGAACAAATGTTCTGCTTGTATGATACTTTTAATATTGTTTATTATTATTCAATAAAACTTTGTGATTTGTGCCAGGCATTAAAGATGCATTAAACTTTTTCAACCAGCTTTGTATCGTTTCAGTGTCAATAGTATATGTAAATGAACTATGTGTATTCTTTATCCATGTAACGTGCAACCAGGACTCCTGTTTTATTTGTCAGCAAAAATCCATGTGAACTAAAAAAAAAAAAAAGAGAGAAAGGAAAAAGAAAAATATATTTAAAATTATGTATAGGCCTTCTTACAGGAGCCTCTAGTCTATAAAAAGCTTTTTTGAGTTGAGATCACATGACCAGCCCAATACTACTTAGCATTGTCAGACACTTTCAGTTACAGAATAAATTAGTCATGGACTAAAGCAATCATAAATACAGCATAATACCTGGCAACTAAAACACGCTTTTTGTTTTCTTCCACAGGTTCTTCTGTTTCCATCAATAACTTCATGGAGAGAGAAAACCGTTTTGCAAGTGTACATTAGCAAATTTCATCTGGAAGACAAGAGTCAAGATAAACAATATCTTGATGGTAAGCTAGTTATTGACCTTCAAGGACTGGCTAGCTGTAAGAACATTACTGCAGCATCTATTGGCTGCCAATCAACACCGGTGGCTTGCCATCAAAGATTTGTGAGTAGTGGCTAACCACTAGCATTAGGTGGTTAGCGTGTGGTGTCCAGTAGAATCTCTGTGGGTGTTTCGAGTGTAGAAGACACGAATGGGACACGCTAGCCTTTCCAGACGGCCTGAATGGGAGAAGGAGTGAGCATGGACAACCTTTCGGAGTTTGGAGGCCTTTGTCCGTCCACCCGGAGGGAATGGGAGTGAGTCTACACTAGCATGTGCTTTCTGCACATTTAGAATTCATTTTCCATGTTATATATATTTTGTACGATTTTCAGAGTTCCAAAAATAAATTTTAAATGGAAACCATTTTCCTGTGATTTCCTCTCAGCACAGGCAGCTGTGTGGATGATTTAATGGATGAAGATGAGAAAGACAGAGCAAAAAGGTCTGTGTGTTTAGCTCTTCATAGTCGTAGTACACATTATTGTGCAATGCTGAATAATAAAATCCCCACATTAGACTGTAAACCTTTAAACTTTAATTGTGTCCAGAGGTGAAAATGAAGAAATCACACCTCTAAAAGCTCTTCACACTTTCACTCAACACAACAGATCTTCCTTGAGAAAAAGTGTCTAGGGCTGAGAGAGAAAGAAGGAGAGTAATGAAAATTGGAGATAATTGAAAGGGTTGAAAGGATTTTGAAATATATATATATATATATACAGTATCTCACAGAAGTGAGTACACCCCTCACATTTTTGTAAATATTTTATTATATATTTTCATGTGACAACACTGAAGAAATGACACTTTGCTACAATGTAAAGTAGTGAGTGTACAGCTTGTATAACAGTGTAAATTTGCTGTCCCCTCAAAATAACTCAACACACAGCCATTAATGTCTAAACCGCTGGCCACAAAAGTGAGTACACCCCTAAGTGAAAATGTCCAAATTGGGCCCAAAGTGTCAATATTTTGTGTGGCCACCATATGAGGTGCCATGTTGAACTTCCAGTGACCAGTATGAGAAACACCAAATTTAACACACCTGCTCCCCATTCACACCTGAGACCTTGTAACACTAATGAGTCACATGACACCGGGGAGAGAAAATAGCTAATTGGGCCCAACTTGGACATTTTCACTTAGAAGTGTACTCACTTTTGTGGCCAGCGGTTTAGACATTAATGGCTGTGTGTGGAGTTATTTTGAGGGGACAGCAAATTTACACTGTTATACAAGCTGTACACTCACTACTTTACATTGTAGCAAAGTGTCATTTCTTCAGTGTTGTCACATGAAAAGATATAATAAAATATTTACAAAAATGTGAGGGGTGTACTCACTTCTGTGAGATACTGTATATACCATAATTTTTAGTACTGTTTTGCTTTTACTCGTTTTTGTCAGTTTGCATGACGTTGTGCACCACAGAAGGACTGTTACCAGCACAGGTGTTTGCAATTGTACTCATTAGGTAATGTTTCCCAAGTGTCAGGAATGTCTGAAATAAGAGAGCGTTTACACCCTATAGTAATCTTTCATTTGGAGACTTTATATAAACCATTAGCTGGAAGCCTATCCTCAGCTGTAACTGAATTGAAATTTGTAAAATTGTTGTAGCATATAAGAGTGTGTAGTAGACATGTGTTTGTATTGCATTAGTTATCTGGGATTCTCATTAGAAATCATACACAAACACCATCATCCCATTCAGACGTTTTCTTTTCGAAGATGCCTTCTTGTACTTTCAAAGCAGAATTATCATTAAAACTATGTCATTAAAAACTATTTTAATCCATTTGATATGTTTGTGTGTAGTCAGCATATGTACATTTATTTTCAACGCATGCTTTTTGTCTGTCTCTCTCACTTTCTCTGCAGGGCGTCCCGTAATAAATCAGAGAAGAAGAGAAGAGACCAGTTCAATGTTCTCATTAAAGAGCTGTGTACAATGCTGCAGGGTCAAGGTCACCCTCGCAAGATGGACAAATCCACCATCCTGCAGAGAACCATTGACTTCCTGCAGAAACAGAAAGGTGAGGGAGAAAGGTCACATTAAATAAAACCAGATGGAAAAATAAATGTAGTTTGAAGGACATTTATGTTGGCTCCTAACACTTGTCAAATTTCTTCTCCCAACCTCCCATGTTTCACTGCCATTGCCTTTTTATGTTTTAATATTATTTAATAGGGCTGCACGATTAATCGCAAGCGATATTTAACGCGCATCTTATCAGTAAAGCCGGTTCTTTAATCAGCGGTAAATCTCCATCACCTGCGTGCTTTCACATTGAGCAGCATTAACTACACAGAGCCGTTGTTCACTGAGGAGCTGCGCCAAACCACGTTCATATTCGCGGGATTTTTAGCGCAGCTCCTCAGTGAACAACGGCTCTGTGTAGTTAATACTGCTCCATGTGAAAGCCCGCAGGTGATGGAGATTTACCGCTGATTACAGAACCGGCTTTCTGACAAGATGCGCGTTAAATATCGCATGCGATTAATCGTGCAGCCCTATTATCTAATATGATTTATTTTGGATATTTCAACAAATGATTTAAAAAAATTAAAATAAAATAAATTATATTCAACTCTCTTTCAAAACATCATCTCTCAGTAAAACGGCACCTGAAGTCGTGAATCATGATTTGTGACCCTGGACCACAAAACCTATCATAAGGGTCCATTTTTCGAAATTGAGATTCATACATCATCTGAAAGCTGAATAAATAAGCTTTCCATTGCTGTATGGTTTGTTAGGATATGACAATATTTGGCCGAGATGCAACTATACAGATTGAAAATCTGGAATCTGAGGGTGCAAAAAATAAAAATATTGAGAAAATCGCCTTTAAAGCTGTCCGAATTAAGTTCTTAGCAATGCATATTACTAATCAAAAATTAAGTTTTGATATATTTACGGTAGGAAATTTACTAAATATCTTAATGGAACATGATCTTTACTTAATATCCTAATGATTTTTGGCATAAAAGGAAAATCGATGATTTTGACCCATACAGTGTATTTTTGGCTATTGCTACAAATATACCTGTGCTTCTTATGACTGGTTTTGTGGTCCAGGGTCACATTTTGTTCCTCATATTTGTATGTGCAAGGAATATTCTGCATATATGTGGTCGCATGCAGTTCTAGAGAGGAATTTTTTTTTAAAATTCAGATAAACTTGATTTTCCAGAGAGGTAAACCTCATTAGAAGACAAGCGAGTTGCAGATGTTTTGTTTGGTAGATGGTTTGATTTTATTCAGATCGGTTTGTATTATCAGTGCCACAATTGATTTAAACTTTGACTGCGTTTTATTTAGCTAATGCCAGGGTTTACACATATTTTGGACTTTGATTAAAACAGAATAATTTATTTTTGCATTGGTGAGAGAAGCTAACTTCTTCAAGCTCCTGGGAGTATCACTTCTAACACCTTTGTGTGCTAGGAGCTGCTTTGTGATGGGCACAGTTCCATTTCCTGTCTGAATCCAGGGCACAGTTGTCAGGCCATCGGCAGAACGTTTACTGGCAGCAGATTTCACTGCCACTATAAACAATCCCAGTGCCGTTTCCAACTTCCTTACTGTTTGATTGAAATTTCTTTTCATTTTCACCCATTCCATCCAAACCTGTTAGTCCACACAATTACTTTCTCAGTCATTCCACAATCAAGCTCTCACAACATTTTCCCGCTGTTTGATGTTTTCCAGAGATCACAGCGCAAACAGAATCCTGTGAGGTCCGGCAGGACTGGAAGCCTTCTTTCCTCAGCAACGAGGAATTCACCCAGTTAATGCTGGAGGTAAAGGAATCTTGTAACCGTCATATCTGCTTCATCAACCTTCAGTTTCTCTGTTGCCCTGTGGGAATACTCCACACTCCAGCTGTATTTCTTAAGTACCTTGCTGTCAACACATCATGTATTTAGCGAGGCTATGAGATGCCTTATAGCCCTGCTTCAGGCATTACTGTGGAGACCACTTAAAAATAAACATTACAAACAAAGGAAACTCATGTAAGCTTAACTTCAATCATGTAGCAGAAATACAGGATGTTAATAAAGAGAGTCAGGCTGACCTGCCCACAGCATTCCTAAAGCCTTAAAACCGGAAGTTGAGCTTTATGGGGCATTTTTGAATTATCCCCAGAGTTTTCAGCATTAAGGAAACATTCACACTCGAACACTTCCTTTCAAAAACAACCTCTTCTCGGTTCCCAGTCTTAGATTTGCCAAGGTACAAGTCCAGTGAATAAGGCATGTAAAAGCAGCAATGTGGGAGATGGTATGGGTTGGGGAATCCCTCATTTGTTTCTTGTTGCATAAAGAAAACAATGAAAAAAAAAACAGTGCGACCTCAAGAGGCTGATAGACAACATTCTTCAGCTACCAAGGTTTTTCATAAGCAGCTTTCTCAGTTATGATGAATTGAATACCCATTTATTACATTGTGTGAGGACAAGACCAATATTCAAAGTTCAGTTCAGTCATTCACTGAATAATGACTGATGATTCAATACTGACGGAATTTTCATTTTTAGATAAACTATTTCTTAAATAACAAAAGGAACATTGTCATCAGTATATTATGAGAATTTCTGCAGATTCATAACGGAATTTTTTTTGTGTTATGACAGGCATTGGATGGTTTCCTAATAGCTCTTACCACAGATGGGAACATCATATATGTATCTGACAGTGTCTCGTCTCTCATTGGTCATCTACCGGTAAGTGAGGGATGGGATTCCAATGCAATAAACCCCAATCCAATGTATCCAAGAGGACTTGATTTCATGCTTTACTTTACCTCTGAGAATGCCATGACTAGTCTGACAAATTAGTCAGATTAGTAATATAATTGTCATGTTTTTCTAAACTTAGATAAGGTAGCCACACACAGCAGGTTTTCTGTAGGCTGTTGACAACAGTCCTTAGGAAATGCATAATTTTTTTTTTAGACCTTCAATTGTATTTGTACAGTATCTAAAAATCATGAAATATCAAGTGCTATGGCTCATGGAATATTTTTCTGAAATTGTCTGAAAAATATACCCCCAACTGAAGTGGAAGGTTATTGGCAGTTAAGTGGTTTCACTTATTACAGAAAAAAAGCCTATTTCATAAACCTGAATCAGTGTTCCTCTCTTCTTAATGCTGCACATGCTAAATCACATGCTGCCAGTCTAATGAGATTTGCTTCCAAACTTTACCTTTATTTCGGTTCCTGCTGTGTGTGAGTTACAAATGCGGTTGGATGATACTGATGGATACTTTCATAACTGTCAAACCCACCTTGACCTTTGGCCTTATTAAGCAGAGATGAGGGCTTAGCAGACCCTTGTTATTGAGGAACAGAACAAGCTGAACTCAGGTGGCACTGAAGGCCATGTAGCCATTATGGATCTACTCAGATTGTGCTAATACTCTTAAGATTTTCTTGAGATGGTGGTTGGGTTGGATGGAACTACTAGCTCCTATAACAGCAGAAAGCTGCCTCTATCCACAAGGCAGTTTTAGAATTATTTTTGTACTATTATAGTATTATTAATATTTTGAATAGTATTTGATATAGTTTCAGTCATTTAGTTTTTATTAGTTTTACATAATATTTGATGTGTGATTGAGATTTAATGAGTTTTAGTCATTTTAGCTTATGTATTTCAGTTAGTTGGCACCATTTCTAATTGATTTCAGCTTTATTCAAACGGACCTATTTCACATTTATAATTTTCATTAAAAAAACACTTATCTATGTCACGATCACTACTGTGAGGAGCACGGAGAGAGGAACGAGGAGACGTGGAGTAAACTTCAAACGAACAGACTTTAATAAACATCCAAAGAACCAGGAACACACACGTAGCGGGGAAAGACGAACATTCAATACCAGACGCTAGACTTAGGAAAACACAGGGCTAAAGTAATGGGACTAATCAATGAAATTAACTGGAAACACCTGGAACCCTGGGTCGTGGAGCACGTGGGGGGAGGAAAGCACACAGATAGAGTCCAGGGGCATGACATATCGCCCCCCTCCCGGAAGGCGCGTCATCGTGCTGTAGAACAACAGAGGGGGGGCATGGGTGGAAACTTGGAAGGAGGAAGAACACCCGGGCGGGGCCCGGCAGAATCCAGGGAGGTGACAGGAAGGACTTGGAGTAGGAGGGGCCAAGCAGGACCCAGGCCACAGCCATGATGGCGACCCACGGTGAAGCCGACGGAGGGAGGAGCCATGGAGGAGGAATGGCCGCCGACTCCAGGGGAACCCCCAACGGCGGCGGAGCAGGTGGCGGAGGAGCCCGAGGCGGAGACGGAGACCTGATGAGCCAGGGCGCCGGCGACTGACGTGGAGACGTGGATCCGAAAGGCCGCGGTGGAGCTGGAGCGACAGAGGACTGAGCCTGATGAGCCAGGGCGCCGGCGACTGACGTGGAGACATGGATCCGAAAGGCCGCGGTGGAGCTGGAGCGACAGAGGACTGAGGAGGAGCCAAAGGGATGAAGGAGCCTGACTGAGCCGGAGGGACAAAGGGACGAGGCGCAGCCGGAGGAGTGGAGTACCGAGGCGCAGGATGTCGACGCCAGACCAAGGCTGAGCCGGAGGCACGAGGGACAAGGGACAAGGGACGCTAGTGGACTGCCGGGCCACGGCAGAGAGGAGGGAGCTAGGAGCCATGGTGGAGCCGACAGGTCCACGGGCCGATGCGGAGTCTAGGGCTTAGCGGTTGAAGGCGGAGCCAAGGGATACTCCAGCCACGGCGACGCTGGAGGAAGGCAGTCCATTTGTGAGCCTCCGGGCTTAACTTGGGACCAGGAGCCCTCTCAGGGCTGGACGTGGGAACAGGAGCCTTCTCTGGGCTAGACATGGGAACAGGAACTTTCTCTGGGCTAGACATGGGAACAAGAAATTTCTCTGGGCCAGCCATGGGAACAGGAACTTTCTCGGGGCTAAACTCGGGGACTGTAGCCTTCTCTGGGCTAAACTCGGGGACTGGAACCCTCTATTTACTGGACTGGGAAACAGGAGCCCACTCAGGGCTGGACGTGACCAGCGGGGACGAAGGAGAGAGGAGAGGGGGCAAGTCCGCTTCCAGCTCTGTTTCCCAGTCTATAAGGTCCCCCTCGAAGTCCAGCAGTCCCACATGTATAATCGGCTCACCCTCAGCCGCGGTGCAGTGGGCGGAGCTCCACTCCACGCTCTCTCTGTCCGCGGCATTCTCCCTCGTGGCGGGCTCGGTTGCCGGCTCTCGCACCTTGACTGATGTCACTTGCAGCTCCGGCTCCGCGGCAATTCGTTGCTCTGTCGCTACTGGTTGAAAATGTGAAAAGGATCCATTACCGAAAGCTATTTTTAATAGATTTAGTTTTAGTAGCAACACTGCCACAAGGTGGTTTATTTTGATGGTGTAATTTTAATTGATAACCACAAATACTACTGCTGCTAATGCTACTACTACTTTTAATAATAATGTTACTATTTAAAATTATTTTAAAAAATGATATGTGAAAAGTGTTAGATTTCTTGTGAAATTATGTTGTACGTAAGTGCTTAATATTGTGGGAAATGTAGTGCATTGTGTAGCACTAATGAAAGAGAGCAAGGAGTGATGTTGTTATGGATACTGCTGTGTCTCAGTCAGATATGGTGGACCAGAACATTTTGAACTTCCTGCCAGAACGAGAACATGGAGAGGTGTATAAACTTCTGTCATCACACATGCTGTTGACAGAGCCTTCTGCTGTGGACCTACTCAACAGCAGTGAGTATACATACAGTATACATGCATGCACAGATCAACACACAATCTATCACACACACTCGCACACAGATGTATGCAGTATGCTGTGAGTGCGTGCTGTCTTAGTGGCAGGATGTAGTGTGCTCTATGATTACACTAATGGCTAATTATAGAGGCTCAGTGCGTACAGTGTAACACAGATTATCTGTTACAACACTCTGATAATCCCACATACATCTCTTACCCTGACCCCAATCCCTAAAACGCACACACACGCTCACCAATACTAAGAGATAATAATACTGGTTGAAAAAACAGTCACTGTTGATTATTTATCTTATTCGATCAACAGAACCACCTCTGTTTCACTGGTCACACTCGCTTGTGCACAAACACACACACATAGAGACTGTTGTACAGTCAGTCAGGTCATTGTACTCTATTTTAGGATAATCATCAAAGTCACACTGGGGCCACAGCCATAATAGAACATTAGCCTCAACCTTGTGTATTCGTCTGACAAACCGAATTCTTGTTATATCAGCTGCTAATAGTCTCTTTCCTTTCCCTGTGCACTCTTTTTCTTTTCTTTCTTTCATTCAGATGAGACACGCGTCGAGTTCTGCTGTCATTTAGCAAGGGGAAACATTGACCCAAAAGAACCGCCCACATACGAATATGTCAAATTTGTTGGAGATTTCAAGTTTCATAATAACGGTGGGTTTTTATTTGTCACTTTTAGTACTCCCAGCCACATGTAACAAACAGAGACACTAATAATTGATGGATGGATACATTTTTTATTATGTGATACTAGAAGTAAACTTCAGCTGTGATAACAAGCATTTGGAATGAACACGCATTTGTTTTTCTTTCTGTGCATTTGGTTGAGGAAGAGATTTCATGAGGAGGAGGCATTTGCCTATGTTGGAATTATTGGTCCGTTTCCTCATTTGCATGTAGAATGTCATTGTGAGGTTACATCTTTGCGAATAGGAAATGTGAAAATGAGAAGAATCTTGGAATTGAAATAGACAGGAAACATTCAAGCCATGGCCAGAACTATGCTAGTTCTTTGTAAACACTTATTTGCAATAAATTTAAATACTTTATTATTTACTATCTTATTTGTTTAGTATAAAATAATTCAAATATACTTGAATTCCCTAGTGAAAAATAAATGTACTAAAATGTATTTGAAATGCTAAGTATACTACAGATACATTAAAATGTTTATGTGCCTAATAAAAATACCCTTTATATTCGAAAAATAAAATACCCTTTATACTCAATTGTACTTTTAATTGTGCGGAAGTAGTGTTGACGTACTAAAGATATACTGAAATATATTTGTTTATGCTAAAGTGGAACTATTGCAAATATACTTTAGGTACACTTCAAATATCTTGCATTTAAAGATCAATGGCCACGTACACACTGCAAGTTTCAGGAGTGACAGCCGCATTAAATGCGGGAGTGAGTCCCATAAATTATCGTTCTGTGTGTGAACGGAACAGCAGTCACTCCCGCATTTGTAACCATAGAAACATTTTGGCATCTTGCGGGAGTGAATAAGAATTTAGCCATTTGGTATCTGCCATTTTTCGGCTAAAGTCTTTTTTTTGTCCGTCGATTTTAACTAAGCTAATCTATTTTAATGCTCATAGATGTGCTGTGTTTTGTTTATGCTCCGGAGGCTGCTTAAGAGAGCGCTGTCTTGCCGTTTTGCCATGTCTTTTTGGCATGTTGTTTGGTCTTAGCTCATAAAGCTAGGCACTTAATGGAGTTAATATAGTGGTCTGTTGCAGATATGAGATAAATGTTTTTTTTTTGGTGTTTTAAAACATAAAGCATTTGGGTGTTTTTTGTGCTTGGCCTTGTTTGTTGTTATTTTTTGTCTATGAAGATCTGGCAACACTGGCACTTTACCGCAGGGCTTGGGAGTGCAACTAGCCCCGTGTCAAAATGTGCTAAGGTTAAGACTTATTTCACTTTTATTTTCTTGCATCTCACATACAGACTAAGGCACATTTCTGATGCAAGTTTAAATATGTAATTAACAGCTAGTTGTTCAGTTCGGTTCCGTACACACTGCGTAGAATTGAATGTGTGGAGTTAATGCGGTTGTCATTCCCGTATTTTAGTGAATTATGTGTTTACAGAACGCGATTAAGGAGTAAAAGGTGAACTGACAACCTATAATCCTCATCAACAGTGACATTGAAACACATTTTAGGCGTAATATTAAGAAATGTGCATTGTACACAAGTAGTACTCCAAATAAAGTTTAATTATAATTTTTATATCAGTAAGTCTTGACCGAGTCAGTAAATATGTAAATAGATTTGAACTATACTTGGTATGAAATAAATGTATTTTAAATATATTACTTTTTTACTAGGGCTATTATTATTTTAAATACAATTTAAATCACAATATAAAATTAATAATGTTTTTATTGTTTATGTGTGTATGTATATATATATATATATGAGTTTTACAAACATTTTTATTTATTTTACATTTTATTTGAAATATAATTACATTTTAAAATATAATTAAAACTACATTATATTTTTTATTTTTATTTATTTGTCACATACACAGTTTTAGAAAGAATACAATTTCAGCTTCTTAGACTGTGCAGATAGACATATTAAGATGAACATAATAAAAATACTAATAAATCAAAATAGTAATAAAAAAAATAGAAAGAAAAAATAGATTTTAAATTCTTTCAGTGCCATGCTTCCACTAGAAGATAGTAGAATATATGTAAAATGTACCTTGGCCTAAGAATAATACTTGATCTCTAAAATCTGGTCATTGTAGTTTTTTTTTAAACAGAACATGTTTTCTGTGTGTCACAGTGCCTCTGTCCTCAAGTAACGGTTATGAGCTGGCGTTCCCACACACGCTGCAGTCCTCACTAGAGGAGCAGATCTGTCTCGTAGCCACAGTGAGACTCGTGACCCCTCAGTTCCTAAAGGTAACAGAGGAACCACCCCCACATACACACAAACACACTGATTCACATGCACTTAAAAATCAATGCTCACAAATCAGTGCTCACATTCTGCTTGCATTCGTCCTTATGTCAAAGGAAGGACAGATTTATTGTCTGTGTGTGTGTGTTAAAGGATCTGTGCAATGTGGAGGATGTGTGTGATGAATTCACATCAAGACACAGCCTGGAATGGAAATTTCTCTTCTTAGATCATAGGTGAGTCAAATGCTGCTTCATTATGCAAACGACTCCTCTGATGTTGTGATTCTGCGTGGTCTTTTATGCAACACTCATTTACGTCCATTTGAATCATGACTCCTTCTGTTTATGCCATTTGTTTGATTCATTCATTCATCAGTTGCTGACCCACTTACATCTGCTAATGCAGACTTTCCGCTGTCCCACGCACGGCTGCGAGGGTTAGCGATGTCATCAGATGTGCGTGTGCTTGAATCAGTTCTCACACTCGTATTTTAATATGATGTTTTTATTCTGCTGTGGCCATTCATAAATTTCAGCATAGAGATGATTTACTCAGGAGGCATTTGTGACCCCCAGAGAGTTACATAACTGTGTGTGTGCGAGTACTGGATGTTCCTGTTCCCTACAGCGCTATAATTGGACATTCGAGCTGTCTCGTCAAACTCTCTCTTTTAAAGGAGAAGCGTGTAATTTCTCACTCAAAATATTGTGGTTTTCAAACAGGTTTCCCAAATACTCCCTGTGTTTTTCATGCTCAGTCATACAGATAGTCCCGTACCCAAAATAATGCTATTGGTTGAACCAGTGTTGCTGTGTCAAGCCGGTTAAGAAAAGTGTTTTGAAACCCTGTTTACATTGGCAAATCAACCTATAAAATGTACAAATGGTTTACTGTCTCTGTCAAATGTAAATTCATGTCCCAGTCACATTTCCTTGGTTAAATAAATATTACAGAAGTATCAGAAAAAGAAAAAAAATCTATTTGATATTTTTACATTAACAATGTAACCAATATTCTGTTTATTAAAGCCAAGCATGAATCTCATCAAGTTAGTGTTTTTAAGCATTTTACATCTATTGTAAAATAATAACTCAAGGCAGTAACAATTTAAACAATATATTTTATTTGTGAACTTATGTTCAGCTATGCTTTTTAATATTTTTCTAATTTTCTTTTTTTTCCCGGATCATCTGTCATCAAAGCTCAGTAAATATTGGTCACAGACAAAGTAAATTTCACCAAGCTGATTACTCACTAAAACGCCCACAGATCAACAAAGTGGTTAAATCTTAAGTGTGTTGAATTGTTTACTTTTTAAAATTAGTTTGTACTTTTTTTTGTTTTTAATTGAATTGTTTACTTTTTTTTTTAATTAGTCTTCCCATTACCGCCATTATATTGTTCACAAGAGGCGGGATTTATTGCATTAACCAATCACAGCTGAACTAACCAGTCATATCCAATCATATCGCGATGGAGGCATTGCCTCCTCTCATGTGACTTCCCCCCATTCATTCTCAGTTACCCCCCTCCAAACTTATGACACACCATAGGGGGTCTGTTAAAACTCAATGGGCTCAGGGGAGGCGAAAGAGACGCCGACTCCCACTGTAACTTTACCTGCTGGTGTCGCTGTTAGACAATGTTTCTTTAGAAAAACGAGTGATTTATACACTTTTTAATGTTATATTTTGTAATATTGGTATTGTTTTAGTTTTGCACTACTATATATTTTTTTCTCATTTAGTATTTTTAGGAGGCACTGCCTCCCTTGCCTCCTCAGAGGAAACGCCCCTGGTGTGTGTGTGTATTTTTAATGTTTGTATGTTTTATATATATTATTACCATAAAAAATATAATAACTATTCTAAAGTTTGGGGTCATTAAGATTTTTTTTTTTTTTGGGGGAAGTATTTTTATACTACAAGAAAATTACATTTATTTAAAATAGATTAACAGTTATTTTAAAATAAAATAATATTTCAAAGTATTATTGTTTTACTATATTTTTGATTAAGTAATTGTAGCCATGGAGAATCTTAACGTGTCCCTTTATTTACACACAGACACATACATGACTCAGGCAGGCTATGGATACTCATCTTTCTTATTTCAGCGGTTCCCATGGTGATGAGTGTCTGCAGGTTCATCCGAGCCCCCATGATTCGTTCCTTTAGTGTACTGCCAGTTTAATGGGTGTTAAAGTACATATATAAGACTGAGTTCTTGTTTTGTAAAATGGGCCAATACTTGAAATTGTGCATGCACTGGTAGCAGCTCAGTAGAAGCGTATTATGAGTAGATGTACTGAATGTGTGTGTGTGTGTGTTCACAGGGCCTCTCCTATCATTGGGTACCTGCCGTTTGAGGTTTTAGGGACTTCGGGTTACGATTACTACCATGTGGACGATCTGGAGCTGATTGCACAGTGTCATAAACAATGTGAGTGTTATATCTCTCTCGCTCCCTCTCTCTCTCTCTTTAAAAACTAGGTCAGTCTTGGAAATTTTGTTCTGTTTGTGTGAATCACAGAGGAGCTGAAAATGCCCCTACCTGGAAAGATGAAAGACCCTGTAAGAAGCTTTCAAATCATTTTTAGAGACTACTGATCTTATGTATGTGTGTGTGTGTGTGTGTGTGTGTGTGTGTGCACACGCGCGCGCATGTGTGTATTGCAGTGATGCAGTGTGGGAAAGGAAAATCCTGTTACTATCGATTTCTGACTAAAGGGCAGCAGTGGATCTGGCTTCAGACACACTATTACATCACATACCACCAGTGGAACTCCAAACCAGAGTTTATCGTCTGTACACACAGTGTGGTCAGGTAAAAACGCACACAATCATTATTTATCCATGTATGTGGAAAGAATGTGCATGCTACACACTCTCATTTATATGTATATAAAACAAAAAAACAACTTTAAATAAATGCTCACACAAGCACATTCAAGCTTTTTCAAATATTTTAGGATTAATAATATTTGTAACTTACAGATATCTGTGTGTAAATGCCTGTTCATAACTACTTCAAGAGTAGTTAATATTCTTGAACTAGTCAGCACAATTAATTAAGTGTTTTACAGTATGTTTCCATCTAGTGGTTAGATTGTGTTACTACACATCTTAGTTTGGCCTTCAAAATTGAGCATATTCTCAGAAATTCACTACATTCCAGGATCAGTCTAAAGCGTTTCACAATAAATATATGAGTTAAATTACTGAGAAGTAAAAACAAATGTTTCTTCTCTATCTAAAGCTATGCTGAAGTCCGAACAGAAAGAAGGAGAGAGATTGGATTGGAGGAAAGCTCATCTGATATGGCAACATCCTCAATCAAGGTCTACACATGCCCAGGAAACACACACAGTGGTGTTTGTTTAATAAATAGTTTTTCATGTTTAAGAAATTGATTACCCAAGATGTAGATTGATTTTGTTTCTTCTTTGGAACAGATTTGGAGAAATGTAGCATTCCATCACT